AGATAGTATATAGCTAAATAATGTTGTTTTCAAATGGAAAACAAATCTAAATAAAGTCTTGGCATGACTGCCGAATGGAAAAAAAAAAAAAAATATATGCTTTATTTTAGCCTATAGTAAAAAAATTGAATTTAAATGTTATACAAAAAATATACAAATAATTCTTGATTTTGATTAGTTAAGAATAATAATCAAAAATTTTAACTAAAATTACTTAAAATTTTATTAAAAAATCATAGCTACTTATTAAATAAAAACTAATTTTAATATAGTACAAGCCTATTTTTTTGAAAATTTCTATTTTTAGAATAAAAAAGTTAAAAAGTTAATTCCGACCAGAAATGAGTAAGCAATTATGTAATGCGAACCAAAATTTTGCAGATCCACGGCCGTTAGCCAATCAAAATCGAGAATCATCCGCGCATTTTTTGTGCGGCACCTAGGTTCAATAGTAAAAATCATAGTGATCTGCGTCACGTTACACTAAGATTTTTCTTCAGATGACTAGCGGATCATCAATTAAGCATTTTGAATTTGTTTACTAACTTTGAGCGAAGATATCTCAACCGCCCGATCAAAATCGATGAAAATTTTTTATTTGAATTTCATATATTCGTAGAATTAGAACAAAAAAAAAAAAAAATAATCGAATTTGGTCGAGTAATTATTAAGATATCTTCGCTCAAAGTTCAAACCGGCATGGAGTGACTACTTTGAAGGACAAACTACTCTATTAACCGTTTAAAATTTTAAAAAATAACTGTATTTCTAGTCACGTGACCGTACTTTCCGATGCAGATTTCGCGAACACTAAATCTTAATTTTAGTCATCCCAATTAATTGATAAAGAAAACTTAAATTATAAAAATTTTCAACATTATACTTAAATGTTAGTTAATTTAGAAATATCTAAATATACGAAACATCTACACGATATATTTAACTTAAAGCGAGATGCGCTAAAGCCCTGTAATATTTTATATACGCCACCTAATTTTATCTATAAATTCATAAAATTACACCTTAACGCATCTCCCTAAAACAGGAAACATAATTATAAATTTTAATTCTATATTTGTCAAGCAATTATTGAAAAAGTTTTTTTTTTTTTTTTTTATCTCAACAAAAAAAATTCAATTAAACAAAAGTTTATAGTATTAAAAAAAAAAGATTAATTGCATAAAATTTTAAGGTTTTAACATATCCAATTCTTTACGCAATGCAGCTTCAGTACCAATTTTTTGTAACTGTTTCCGTAAACATAAATTAGATCTTGAATAGATGACGAAATAAGGGTTATTTTTATTAAACATACCTGTGTCTGCTCTAATTTATCGCCATTCTGTTGTCTTTCTTTAAGTTCTGCTATTTGTCTTAACTTCTTTGTTAAATTTCGAATCTTTTTCTCCGTTTCTGATAATGAACTTACACCCTGAGATAATCCATTTGTCGATGTAATTGGTGCTATTTGTTCTTTGACAGGTTCAGCAACATTAACAGCATCTATTATATCATTATTTATTCCTTGTTGAGCTGGCACTGACGATGGTGACGATGGTAACAATGGTGATACTACATCTAGACATTAAAAAAGCAATGTAAATTCTTCTAATTTAAAAGTAATTAACATATTAGAAAATTCCTATATACCACTATTTTCAGAAGCAAGATTTGCTTCTTCCTTTTTTTTCTTTGCCGCTTCGCGTTTCTTTTTGTTTTTGACAGCAGCTTTTGTAGATACTAAATATAAATCAATAATAATAATTAAAGGTCATTATTATATCGATTAAAACATACAATATAAATTGTTCTAATACCTTCAGATGTCCCTACTGATGTCGGTTTACTTCCATGGCCTTGCTCATGTAATCGTTTACTTGCTTCATCTTCACGCTATAAAGAAGTTGTAATATATTAATGGAAAATTTATCAAGTATTCAATTGCTCAAAATATAAAAATACCTTAAACATATCAGGTGTTGCTGTACCACGTGCGTGTGGAGGTCGATAAGCGCCTACTTTTTTGGCTGTTAAAATATAAGCAACAAAGTCAATTTTTTTAATTTAAACACTTTTTTATGTAAATAGATAAAGACGGATTACGTGAAGGTTTCACAGCTAATGCGGCTGAATTCTCTGAAATTTTAGGTGGTGGTGATAAGGTACGCATTGGATATAGTTCGACGCTAGATGGCCTCCATTGAATCTATCACAACAATAATAAATAATCATAAATTAATGGTTTAAAAAATGTATATCACTTCATATTATAACTCTCTACGTGTAACCCATTCATATATACACTATCAAGATTTTAAATAAGTTCACCCGTTTGAAAACCGCCAAGTACTATAAATGCGATAAAGTATCGACTATCTTCAAAGGTGATGGCGTTTACAAGAGTATAAACGTGATTGTTCCACTATCTAAATTAACTTTCGAACCTGTAATAATTCCTGAATACTCTCTTCACGCACTAGTACACCGGTATAATGCCAAATTTTATAACCATTATCAACTCGAAGCCGAGGACTTAGAGTCGCAGTCATTATATAACGCCCATCAGGCGACCAAAAACATTCTGATGAATTAGGAGCTTCTATAGTCGTTATTTTTTTCAAATTTTCGTGATCCCAAATGTCTATTGTTCCAGCAAGATTTCCGAAGCCGGCTATGAATATCAGTAATTATTGGAATATTAATGTTGAGAATTTAACATCATAATAATTTTTGAGCTAACATCATAATAATTTTTGAGCTAATTATTAAAGATAATGATAATATAGTGTAAGTAAAGGATATGTCTTCCTTGAGGATTGAACCTTACGGTGTTACGAGGATTGACACCGAATTCATGTATGGGATTTGCCCGATGATCGAATAATGTAGCTTTGGCGGGCATATCTAATATAAATTAAGATTTATATAAATAAAATGTCAAGAGCTATAAAATTGAAATCATCAACAACGCTTACATCCATAAACCACTATAAACTCTTTAGAGTTTGGACTCCAAGCGACGTCATGTATTGGACCATCCTTTTCTAAAGTTGAAAATAATAAATATAATAGCCAAGTATAAAACAGAATTTTTTTTTTAAAAAAAAAGTACTTACTAAGCTGGACACAACAATCATAATTGCCAGCCACGGATAGAAAATATAAATTGGTCTCTGTTTCAAGTTCAAACTAATTCTTAGTTCACGTCATTGTTAAGTTACCATCAATTCTCATCAATAATGAAACTTTTGTTGCGTGTTAGGAGATTGACAATTACCTCCGTAATATGATTTATTCGTTTTATCCACCTCAGTTTGCGTTAGAACTAATAAATTTGTACCAAGATCATTCCAATGCATCCGAACTTTGTCAGCTTTGAAAAAGTTTTTCTGTGCCAATGGTGAATTAAAGTTGGTTATCGAATAAATACGAACAGACGCCGGCGCACACTATAATACATTATTTATACAGCAAATTAATTTAGATTGACTTAATAAAACAAAATAATAATAAGAATAATAATAACCATACATTTTTTTCTGGAATAAATACGGCAATTGATGGGTTTTTTCCGGGAGATAGAGAAAAATTAGCGATGTTTTCTAAACGTAATTTGGTATGAATCCCTTTGTCAACACGCTTGCTGTCATAAAAATGAATTTCACCAGTCACCATACGACTAAAGAATGATTCATCTTCAGTCCATTGAACATTCCTAACAGATATACAAGTCAATAAAGAATATTACGCATAAATGGGCTTAATAAAATAAATCATTTTAAACTCTGCGTAGTTTTACCAATTTGCCTGACTTTTTTGTGTAAATTGAATCAATTCTTGCGCGGTTGCCGTTTCCCATACGATTAAATTTTTGTGTACCAAATTTTCCGATAGTTTAACTAATTGTAAATATTTCATAAGTAGGTTTTTTTTTTTTTTTTTAAAAAAAAAAAAAAAAATTTATAAATGTAGTTACCTGGTCTTTCCCAAGTAGAAATGTACGTTCCCTTTGGAGAAAATCCGATTTCAACAATGTTTTTCTTTTCAATTTCGCTATGAAGTTCAGCGATTTCAGTGTCTATAATCTTTACGCTTCATAGATCGGTTCAATAATTTGAATTAGGTATTTATCATTTTAAAAATAGATTGATCAGTTTATTCATAAGAATAATCACTTTTCTGGCGACGCCAAACTAAGATATCCACCCTCCTTGCTGTACTGAAAGGTCTTGATATTGCCACTAGGAACGATTAATTAATTAATTAATTACGAAACAAAAATTTGAATACAATCTTCTAGAATATGATTAATATAGTAGCTTACTCTTTGAAAGTTTTAATAGTCTGGTAGGTAGGATGTCCCAAAACTAAGCTTAAATTGTCAAAAGAACGATCTATAAGTAAAATAGACCATTAATTATTAGCTAGAGGCGCGCCCCACTATCATGTAAATTAGATATTTAATATGCATACATGTAAGCTGGGTAGGTGAAGCAGTTGTCATGACGAAAGCTTATAAATAGAAATAAATCTTTTAGTAAATTTAAATGCAAAGAAAAAAAAAGAATCTGAATTTTGAACTGAATAATCACGCGTGGAATCCAAAATTCCGGAACGAATTTTGATTGGCCGATCAACTATAATTAATAACTAGTGTAACATTAAACCTTATTCAGTCCATGTTGATTTTAACTGTTTTAACAAAGTCTACCTGTTAACTTTGAATTAATGAACAACCATTCTCCTCCTTTGATCTCACCTTACATACAACGAAAAAATTCAGCCACCACTGGTGGTGGGACTAAAACCCAAAAGCGCCCAAAGGCTACAAAGTCACATACAGCACCTCCAGCGTCAAGCGGACGAGTTACAAAGCGTAATAGCGTTAGTAATGCAACTAAAGCTGGAAAAGGTGAAAGTTCCACACGAGGAGCCGGTAGAGGTGGTAGGGGCGGCAGAGGTGGTAGTACCCGTGGCCGTAAACCAAGTTTACAACGTCAACCCCCAGGCTCTCTTATGTTAGAACATTTAGAGAGTGCTAGCGTTCATTCAACCGCGACAACACCAGCTTCAAGTACCCCTTCAAGAGATATTGCTCCACAGACACCTGGTGAAGAAATTGATCAATACATTAGACAGGATGAAGAAATAACGGATACAGATCTTGAAAAAACGAATAAAGATGTAAAACCCGTAGACGATGATGATGACGATGAGGATGACGAAGTTGGAGCAACTGCGGAATCGGATCTACAACGAGCTCAAATGCGATCGCGAGTCTATGAACAACACAAGTGAGCTTTTGCTTTGAGATGTAGAAAATTATACTATTTGTTAAAGAAATTAATAAATCGATTTTTATTCAAGTATGTTGCTGAAAGCTTTCTCGAAAGAACAAACAGAACGATTTGAAGTGTACAGACGTTCGGCTTTGAGTAAACCAAATATCAAAAAGGTAAAAACCAGTTAAAAAATGCATTTTCATGTCATTATTTTATAAAATTATATTTATGTGACATAACATATATCTTTATTTGATAACATTAGTTGGTAAGTGGTATTCTGGGACAACCATGCTCAAATAATATTTCAATTGTGGTAGCCGGGTTTTCCAAGATTTTTATCGGAGAAATCGTTGAAAAAGGTATTTGATATATTAATAAATTATAATTATAACACTTAAACATACAATTAACCTCTGAATTTATTTAATGGTTTAAAAAAAAGCATTGGACATTAAAAAAGAGTGGGGTTCAGAAGGACCTCTTTCACCTGATCATATACGAGAAGCATTTAGACGATATAAACAGGAAACAGGATTCACTATTCATAATTATCAAAAAAGATTGTTGCGACGTTAGAGCTAGAGTTTCAGTCACACGCATAATTTTGAAACTGGGTATTCAGGTTGCATGTAGCTGAAATATAGTTATATATAAATCATGTCAACATCTTTTATAATATTAATAATAATTATAATATAATATGAAAAAATGTATATATTCATAATGACCTCTTATTCGTAACTAAAATCTATTACCCTAGTTATTGTAACTGCATCCAGTAAATCCAATAACTGATAAAATTTTCAATGAATAATTTTTCGTCACGTCCAATTGCTCAAAGCTAAGCTGCGTTAACAACGAATGTAAGTCCCAACCCCGAAACATTTAACTCGTACTCAACGTTTAGAAAGAAAATAATTACAAGGCCCAAACTAGAAATAATAGTTACATATAAACCCAAATAACTTTGCGCACACGCCTAAAACTCGAACCTGAAATATCGTCATTAATAAGTGCGTAAAAAATGGATTGATTGATTGAATATATATTTAAACTAAAATGATTATAACCAACTCATTATCCAATTAATCAATATAAAAGATAGCTCCAAAATCTATAACGAAACACGATCTATGATTCATGACATTGCTTTTTGACTAGCATTTAAACACGGGACCTTAGGGTGTGCAGCGCTCAAATGAAATCAAACATTAGTTAGGGTCATATATGTAGATCATTAAGTTCGGATTCGAAGGTTAATTTTCCATACAAATTTACATATATATAAGATATAACTACAATACATATATATGCGGATATAAAAATACTACGTAGTAAATTCAAGTGGAATAGGCCTGCCAAATTTAATAAATATCGATACGTATTAAATCTTATACGCCATACATATTTCTAGTATTATCTCTTGCCGCTCTCATAATTTCATCAATATCTTTTTTTGTAATTTCGGCAATTTTTTGCGCTATAAAAGGAATCATGCCTGAATGAGATACAGTAATTCTGTCACTTGATTTTTTATTTCTATTGAGTTTACCAGGTGTCATATATGGAGCATCAGTTTCGAGTAAAATTCGATTCAATGGAACGATTGATCTGACTACTTCTTGTGTATTCTTAGCAGATCCATAAGTAATAATACCTGTTATACCAATATAGAGATTTGGAAAGTAATCTAATAACCTTTTTGCAAAATTAGGAGAATCTGTGAAACAATGTACATGAATCTTCCAATCTTTAGGAACATATTTAGTTAGAATATCCCATGTATCTTCTTCAGCTTCACGTGTGTGAATCACAATAGGTTTCAATAGTTTTTTTGCTTGTTCTATTTGTCGTATGAGAACCTGCTTTTGCACATCTTTAGGTGAATTATTATAATGGTAATCAAGTCCGATTTCACCCAATGCCACAGTTTTGGGATGTTGAAGAATTTTGAGCATTTGAGCCTCAACGTAATCATTGTAATCTTTTGCATTATGTGGATGAACACCGGCAGAAAGATACATAAATGGGGTATCCGCCATAACTTTCCAGTCCATATACGTTCCGGGGAACACTTCATCGCTACTGAACGATAAAGGGTCACATAGCACGTTAATGCAAGCTTCCAAATTGGGTGGGCAGTAACGTTCTTTTAGATCTTGAAAAGTTTCTATTCCAAATGTATTGGGAAGACGTTCGAGAGTATAATGCAAATGGGTATGGGTATCAACGAAAGGTTCGGTAGTAAGAGCTGAAAGCGTTTGTATGTCTGGTAGAGCTGTTGGCGTTTTTTTATAGGATCGATTTTGATCATTTTGTTTGGTAGGTACTGTATTCTTAGCGTTTTGTGCCATGCTACTGATCTTATGTGTCAAACAGGAACCCAATAAATTAAACTCCGAGATGTAACGAAAGTTATATGCAGTATAACTTCGCCCATAGTTTCGGGTCATCCAAAAAATCTGCCTCATGGACTTTCTCCTGATTGGTCAATTTTATACAGTTGAATCTATAGAGTACTTTTAAAACTTATCATTGTAATTTTTTTTTTACTTATTTTCTTTTTTACATACCACTTTAATAATATTTTTTAGGTATCAATAGATAATGATACTGAAGATAAAAACTTATTTTTGAGCTTATATGAAATATTGAGAATGAAATTGAAAATGAAGTTAGAGATATTACTGATGATAATAGTGATGAAGTTGAAGAAGAAACTGCTAATGAAACTGAAAAAGCAGTCATTGATAAAACTAAAAAAGAAGCCATGAACATTAAAAATAAAAAAAAATAAAAAATATAGTCAAGCAAAAAAAAAAAAAAATATCTCAATTAAATTTGTTTAATTTACTATTATTACTGCTATTTCAAAAATTTCAACATGCTAAACTATATCATACTTCTCAAATAAAAATAGTTAATAAATTAGCTATTAGCAACAACAAGGTTCTTGTGTTTGGTACTGATTTAAAAACATGTCAGAGTAGAGAAAATACAACAAAAATTCACTACAAAATCAGATATAGTGTACTATATATAATATACTATTATATCTCAATAAACAATGTCTAGATTGTTTTAATGAGTATTATGAACATAAATAAAGAGTAATAAAATAAATAAATATCAATTTTATATTGTCATGTAATGTTTTGTATTATTTATTTTATATTTTTATATATATTTGTAATTCACATAAGTATCAGAAATTTTCAGAGCAAATTTGTTCTGAAATTTAAACAGTTTAAGAAATAATAAAAGGTAAAATAAATATATTATTATATAATTTATTATATATAAAGATAGGTTACTGAGCAGTCTATACATTATTTTATTATATAGCCTATTCAAACTATGCAGAATTTTTGATAGTTTGCATAGTGTGATTTTTAAAATTTGATTAACTAATATAATTTTAGCTAGCTAGCATAATTATATCTAACTAGAATAGCATTATATTGCTACTATAATTTATATATATTTTATATACAAGCTATACAAAAAATTTATGATTTGTCTATTTCTAATTATATAATATATGCACTTTTTGCTAAATAAGATTTACAAAACCTCTAATAACTATTATTTAATTTAGCTAACAGTTTAAAGTATTAAATTATTAGATTTATATTTTATAAATGAAATTTAGTTTTTTTACATATACAATTTATTATTACTCTTAATAGTTAGTAGTCCTGATTATATAATGTAGAAATAAAAACAAACTTTTTGCATATTAGTTTAATACTAGAGTCAAAGTTATATTAAAGTTAGAATTAGAGCATTAGTAAAATATTTTTAGTCTAAAATTTTACAGAAATTTTTTTTATTAGAATATAAAAAGAGGTTTTATAAATAAAAAATTGAGTTTAGTTAGAGATTTTACTAAATTAAAAAAATTATATTTTAAGAGTCTAGCACCCGTAGCTTAGTGGTTAAGTTGCCAACCCTTCACAGACAAGGTCAACAGTTCAAAATTGACTGAAGGTGAAAAATACTCTATAACTTTATTTAAGGAGTCAATGGTCGAATGCGAAGCTCTGTGAGAAGTCCAAGTAAAGTACGATGTCCGAAATAGGAATTATTGGAAGTAGCTCTATCTTGTAGAGAGGTAGTACTATGTGTGACAGTTGGTGTCACAGAAGTTGGTCACACAGTAGCATGAAAAAGTAAGTACATATTGGCAAGAGTATAGCAGGAACCAATATTATTACATGGTGTAACAGAATTGCTTGGGAGGGTTACATGATAACTAACTGAGTAGTGAGAGAAGCGGGGATTACACAAGATACGATTAAGTGATAAGATATTGGCCTTACTGAAT